CATCTAGCTACATTGGTCCAAAAACATCTCTAATCCCTCAAAGAGCATGTTTGACTATTCTACGCCCCGCATTATATTCACACCCAATCAGCATCCCATAGAGAGCGATGTGAGTTGTCGACAGTGAATATAGAGCAGAGATGTAGAACTAGATGATCTTCCCCTCACCCTCATATCATTTAATTTGAAATTGACCGCTTTCCCAGTAATGTCCCTTAAAGCCGAATCATACATGACCGCATGCAACATACCAAAGTAGCTAAACATCAACTCCTCATCTTATGACATAGTCAAAGGTCACAAAAGGCACAAAGTGAAGTCATTTAGGGAAAAATGACTTTTAGGACTCACACAGTGAAGAAGTAAGGATCCATTCTTTCACCTTGTTAACAGTTCAATAAGCACATGCAGTACGAATGCATGTTATAGTGGAGTAACTCTTCCAAAGAGTGATGTTAAACTCACACACCATACAGATCTTAGTTTAGTCGCTCTTAAGCGCATAAGTAGCTTTCTAGCGTCTAACTCGAATTCTCTATTTGCTTGCCTCTCAGGCATCAAATGAGATCTCGCATCTGGTTATCCATAACAGGCACATCATGGAAAAGTGGGTACGCTTATATCCATGGTCGGTCTCTAACAAGACCTCATCTTGGCTCCAACCAAGGTGACATAGCTAGTGGATAATTTTAGCTTCTCTATTTGCTCCAAATACAATAAGCCACTAGTCTCATCCTTGTTCGCTACCTAGCGCTAAGGGAAATTGCTCGTGTGAATGAGCCAATCTTGCCTGCTAATATCAATTTTTTTATTCTGTGTATGCTAATTCACAAACCATTGTAAAAAGTAGTAAACATAAATGTGTAATAGAAACAACTATGAATACTAATGGCATAAATATCCCAAAAAATGAGTTCAACTGAATACACACACACATATACATATATCACCACCTACGTAGTCTTAAAGCCCTAACATGAGTAAGATAAACATCTCTAGCAATGGGCTTAGTCAAAGGGTCCACAACTATGCGACTCGTAGGGATGTGCTCCAGGATCACTTCTTTCTCTACCACAATGTCTCTAATAAAGTTGAACCTCACATCAATGTGTTTGGTTCTCCCGTGGTATTTAGGATCCTTAGCATAAGCGAGTGCAGCCATGCTGTCACAATGGATAGTCACAGGGTCTAGAGTGTGTGTGACAATATCCAAATACTGAAAGAATTTTCTCAACCAAATGGCTTCCTGAACGGCAGATGAACAAGCCACAAACTCAGCCTCCATAGTCGATAAGGCGATACAGGATTGCTTCTTACTGCTCCAAGAAATAGCACTATCGCTAAGCATGAAAGAATATACTGAAATAGACTTACGCTCATCTAAGTCTCCTCCCCAGTTAGCATCACAATAGCCAACTAGATGTAGATCTGAACTTTGGTAGCAAAGTGTGTAATCTGTAGTCCCTCTAAGATATCGTAATATCCTCTTAACTGTTTTCCAATGAGTTGGTCCAGGGTTGGATTGGTAACGACTCACCAATCCGACTATATAACAAATGTCAGGGTGTGTACACATCATAGCATCAAGCTTCAACAACATTTGCATAGGGAACTCAGGCCATCTTTTCATTCTCTTCTGGAATCTTAGGACCCATATCAAGGCTTAGGCTCTCGCCTTTCGCAACAGGAGTGTCAATGGGTTTGCAGCTCTGCATCTGGAATCGCTCTAGGATAGTCTTAGTGTAAGTCTCTTGAGACAAACCAAGAAGTCTCCTAGAGCGATCCCAAAGGATCCTAACACCGAGCACATAGCTCGCTTCACCCATGTCTTTCATCTCAAATGTAGAGAACAACCACCTTTTAGTGGCGACAATCATCTCTTTGTCATTTCCAGCCAATAATATGTCATCTACATATAATGACAATATCAGAAAAATATCCTTGGACCGCTTAACGTACACACAGTGATCTTCATCGATCATCGTAAACCCATTAGAAACAATGGCTCGATGAAATCTCAGATTCCACTGTTTGGATGATTGCTTTAAGCCATAAATAGATCGTTAACGTTTGCAAACTTTGCGCTCATGACCTACTACCACAAAGCCTTCTCGTTAATCCATATAGATCTCTTCATCCAATTCTCCATTGAGAAATGCAATCTTAACGTTCATCTGATAAAGCTCTAAGTCCAACTGAGCTACTATGGCCAAAATTAGGCGAATATAGGCAAACCTCACAACTGGCGAAAAGGTTTCCTCATAGTCCACACCCTCTCGTTGGGTGTAACCTTTCACCACTAGGCGAGCCTTATACCTTTCTATGGAACCATCCGCTTTGCGCTTGATTTTGAGAACCCATTTGTTCCCAATAGTCTTGCACCCTAGCGGCAAATCAACCAAGTCCCAGACATGATTTTTCTTCATAGACTCTATTTCTTCATCCATTGCAGTACTCCATTCTTTACTAGCAGGGAATCAGAGAGCCTCTTTGAGATTCTTAGGCTCCATCTCATCACTCGGAGCAATAATGAATGCTTTCCCTTCAATCTCAAAACGATGACGAGGTATAGCTCCACGTTTGCTTCTATGCAGTTAAGAATCCTGAGAATCCTCATCCATTGGATCTAATCCATGGGCAGGTAGATCGCTCCCACTGTCCCTTGGAGCTTGAGGGATTATCTCCTCATTCTCTACTAGGCTACTTGGTGCGCCACTACAAAAAATTTGCTTTTTTGCGACGGTAAAATACCGTCACCAATACCCAAAAAGCCGTCTCAAAAGCTTTTTTGCGACGATAAATAGCTTTTAGCGACGGTAATAAGGGGGTCGCAAAAAAAGGGGTAGCTAAAGGTCTTTAGCGACGGTAAGACGCCGTCGCAAAATATTGGCGACGACAAAAATGCCTTTTAGCGACGGCAAAATACTGTCGCAATTAATGTGTAAAAATCTGAAGTTTTTGAGACGGCACTAAAATACCGTCGCTAATATGGTTATTTGCGACGGTAAAATACCGTCGCAAAAGGGTTTATTTGAGACGGTAAAAATACCGTCGCTAAAATGGTTATTTGCGACGGGTTTAATACCGTCGTTAATACTATTATTTGCGACAGAAAAATGTGCCGTCTCTAAAAATATTATTTGCGATGGTGAAAATACCGTCGCTAAAGGCCTTTTGTTAATATTGCCAATATCATTGGCGACGGCTACGCTACCGTCGCAAAAACCTGGTTCTAACAAAAATGCTGCAATAAAATTATTAAAAATATGCAAATTACCTGTATTAAATAAAAATAGCTAAAAAAAAATCGATAATTATATAATAATATAAAAATTCCTGTATATAAATAAAATTTCATCCATAATTAAAATACTTTTCCATTCATAACAACACATCATCAAAATTATCCAACCACATAATTTTGCATAATACATACATAATGTTGTTCACAAATCTAAATAGCGTAAATCAAAAATAAAAGTTTTCTTCATAATTCTTCCGTGGGTTAAAAAAACAAAAGTTCGTCGCAATCTTCACACGGCTGCATTCCACAAGAAGCAAACTGCTACTCAGGAAATATCTGAAAATAAAAAATAAAAATAATTAATGACAATATAATTATGTGTTAATAGTTTAATTACAAAAAAACATAAAAAATTAATTACTATATAATTACAAAGATAGTTAAGTAAATAATTTTGGCTAGATAGAAATCCGACCCTAACTCCCAAACCGGAAACCCGATTCGAGTCTCGTTTTCTCCCACAAGTCTATCGTGTCTAGGCAATCATGTGTGCCAAGTTTCGTGCTAAATCGACCTCTTTTGGTGATTTTGGAGCGTCAACACCTCGAATTCAAGTTTCTTAAGGAACTAGTTTGCCTAGACCGAAATACGACTCTAACTCCCAAACCGGGAAACTAATTGGAGTCCCGTCTTCTCCCACAAGTCTCTCGTGCCTAGGCGGTTCTGTGCCAAGTTTCGTGCCAATCCGACCCCGTTTGGTGATTTTGGGGCGTCAACACCTCGAATTTAAGTTTCTTAAGGAACTTGTTTGCCTAAACCGAAATATGGCTCTAACTCCCAAACCGGGAACCCGATTCGAGTCCCGTCTTCTCCCACAAGTCTCTCGTGCCTAGGCGGTCGTGTGTGCCAAGTTTCGTGCCAATCCGACCCCGTTGGGTGATTTTGGGGAGTCAACACCTCGAATTTAAGTTTCTTAAGGAACTAGTTTGCCTAAACCGAAATACGGCTCTAAATCCCAAACCGGGAACCCGATTGGAGTTCCGTCTTTCCCACAAGTCTCTCGTGCCTAGGCGGTCGTGTGTGCCAAGTTTCGTGCTAAACCGACCCCTTTTGGTGATTTTGAGGCGTTAACACCTCGAATTCAAGTTTCTTAAAGAACTAGTTTGCCTAGAGTGAAATCCGTCACTAACTCCCAAACCAGGAACGCGATTGGAGTCCCGTCTTCTCCCACAAGTCTCTCATGCCTAGGCGGTCGTGTGTGCCAAGTTTCGTGCCAATCCGACCCCGTTTGGTGATTTTGGAGAGTTTCTTAAAGAACTAGTTTGCCTAAACCGAAATACGGCTCTAACTCCCAAACCGGGAACCCGATTGGAGTTCCGTCTTCTCCTATAAGTCTCTCGTGCCTAGGCGGTCGTGTGTGCCAAGTTCCGTGCTAAACCGACCCCTTTTGGTGATTTTGGGACGTTAACACTTCGAATTCAAGTTTCTTAAAGAACTAGTTTGTCTAGAGTGAAATCCATCTCTAACTCCTAATCCGGGAACCCGATTGGAGTCCCGTCTTCTCCCACAAGTCTTTCGTGCCTAGGTGGTCGTGTGTGCCAAGTGTCGTGCCAATCTGAACCCTTTTGGTGATTTTGGGGCGTTAACACCTCGAATTCAAGTTTTTTAAAGAAATAGTTTGCCTAGAGTGAAATCCATCTCTAACTCCTAATACAGAAACCCAATTTGAGTCCCGTCTTCTCCCACAACTCTATTAGCTTAGAATGCAAAGAATGCAAATATACATTTTAGCTTAGAATGTAAAGTTACATTTTATACCTGATCTTCTGGTGGTGGTGTATATAGATTCTCGTCTTCTGTAGATTCCCTAAATGCCCAGTGGCCACTCGATGCATCAGGAGCCTATGATAGTCAATGCATAATGTGTTAATCATGTTCGAATTTTAGACATAATGTTGTGTGACAATTTAACTATCAAACAATTTAATTTATATCGAACCTGTCTGTTAGGATCCACACTTGCCCCCTGTGACACAAAGGCCATCATCTCAGCTCTCAGCTGCTGTAAATGTGTAGAGAACTCTGCTCTCATCTCCTCCCTCAACTCATCCCTTAGCTCCGCACGAACCTGCTGGGTGATCTGAACAATAGTCGATGGCTGGGGTGCTGACTGTGATGGCCCTGTACCATCTTTATACACTGCTCTTCGAGGCACAGTTCTCCCGTATGTGCGACAATATCCATGATTGTCATGACCTATCAACTCATGGAAAATGGCATTCCTAGCCTCCAAAGTCCGACAATCCTCAGGTAGCATAGAGAGTTGGCCATTAAACTCATCCAGTATTGAATAAGAAACACAAGTATATGCCAAATTAAGATGGTTAACACAAAAAATAAAAAATAAACTTTAAATACAATCAAAGGTGTTTGGAAACTACCAAGGTCTGGATAACCTCTGGGTCATCTGCTCTACGTGTCATAAGCCAAACATTCATCTTATCAGTAGACTCCCCCTTATTGGTCATCTACATTTTTTTAGAAATATGAAAATTATAATCCAAATAATTTGTAAATATACAATGTTTATTTATATACAAAAATAAAACAGTAAATATAAACCTCATGCCATATCTGAGCGAAAGTAGTACGCCCTGTGGTATGAGCTATGCCGTGAGCTCGCCGATTTTTAGCGTTCCTAGTTGCAATTTTCTATAATAGGTTCAACAAATGTAAGTATATAAATATGATTGTATATTTACATATCATACATATAACTTATTTGTATACCTCAGCATCGGAAGTACGCCAATACTCCACAAATTCTTCCCACTGGCTTGGCACAATGTGCAAAGGAACATCATCCTTCAGATTAGGATCTTCACTTCTAGGCTTGAAATACTTACACTTAATCTTATTCTTGTGATCCTTCCATATGCTGTTACAGTTTTTCATGCAGATTGGCTTGTATGACTTGAACTAAATTTTCTTGGCTACTTTTTAGTGTTTAATCCAATATTAGAACCCCCAAATTAGCTCATATCAGTCACAAACTGATAAATTATAATATAATTTAAACATAAAGTTTAAATTTATTATTATTGAATATTTTTATTAATTAACTAATAGGAACAATGTTACCATTCCGGACAATAATGCCAAGTTGAGTAGTTAACTTGGCCACGTTATCTCCTATTGGGCAGTAATTTCCATCAAATTGTATGTGCAGCTTTTTACCAGTACCCCACTCTTTAATGCCCTTGGCACATCCTCTACCACGCCTAGTCGAGGTTGATGAAGAACTAACATGACCTGCGATATACAATAATAATAAACAATATGCAATGGTAACAACCAAATGCAAATTTAAATAATGTGAATACAAATCATATCAAATAAACCTGATGTGGGCTGTGAAGAAGTCGAAGGGTCTGAAAAATACAATGATAATAAACAAGTTATATGTAATGAGAACAAATAAATATATATTTAAATAATTTTCATACAAATCAAAGCAAATTTATATACCTGCGGATGGCTCATAAGCCGATGACTCTAGTCGGGATGATAGCTGTTGCGATGCCACTGATGGTGGACGCACCGATGGTAGGCCTAGAGGCTGAGTAGATGATAGCTGGTGTGGTGCCACTGATGGGGGTCGATGCGGTGGCACTAATGACCCCTCTGATGGTGCTCGCTGTGATGCCTCCTCGAATGGTGGTGGCATTGATGGTGGACGCACCAATGGTAGGCGTGGTGGCTAAGTAGATGATAGCTGCTGTGGTGCCACTAATGGTGGTCGATGCGGTGGCACTAATGGTGCTCGCTGTGATGCCTCCTCTAATGGTGGCACTAATGGCCCTTCTGATGGTGGTCGATGTGATGCCTCCTCTGATGGTGGTGCCGCTGATGTCCTCTTACGTACCATATCAGACATCATGCGCCGGGGATGATCAGGTTTCCTCTTCCTTCCCATAATAATCTGCAAGCAATATAACATTAATTAGAAACATAGATAATGGTTTGTCATCAACTATAATATGACATTAATTGAACTAATACAATTACAAAGACAAAGTAAATTAAGAAACTGATGATTAACTACAACCTTGGCCTTAAGTGAATTACTGATGTTGATTAAATATCAACCTATTTGAACATCAACTGTTTCCCCTTCTGCGGCTTCCCTCACCCAACCAACTTCTTCATCACGAAGCATTATATTTTCTTCCAATTGTTGGCTCATATATGGCTCAATTTGTGGATCATTCGAACTCATATCAAATAAACCTCTTTGAGACATCTTCACCGCCACTTGCCAGTCTGGTTGTAACGGGTCTGCAACATACCAAACTTGCTCTGCTTGGGATGCCAAGATGAAAGGTTCATTAGTAATTCGATCATCTCGATACAACAAATGATTGAAGTTGACTAACGTGAAATTGAAGACATCTTGTATCTTCCCGTGAATGCTGTAAATCCAATCACACTTAAACAACACATGCTTCTTCTCATTGGAATATCGAATCTCAACAATATCTGTCAATTGTCCATAATAGTACACAGACCCCGCACAGCATAACTTATGGTATATGCCTTCAAAGCTACACCACAATTTTGTGTGGCTCGACGGTCATCCATGGCCTTTACTTGATACCGAAACCTATTCATTATATACCTGTTGAACCTCCTTGCCAGGTTATGAGGACCATTTCCCAATAGAATAATCTCTTCAGAAAATATGACATCAGTAGTCCTTCGCAAAGTTTGGACCTATTTAAAACGAAAATGTAAAATTTAAAATGTAGTTCGACTTAAGTAACTAGTAAATAGAATCTGTAGATTTAAATACATACATGTTCCTTGAACCAAATGTGAAAAGTTTCAAAATGTTCACGCCGAAGCTGATGATCGTCAACACGAGGCATTTTGACCTTAAGTTCTTCAAGGTGTTTGCTGTGTAAATTGAAATTTTATCAAAAAACAAAATTTGGTTCAAAATTCAATGAAACATAATAAAATATTGAATGAGTGACATAACTTACTTTATGAATGATTGAACCACGGCTGTATTGAATAAGACATACCAATGAGTTTGTACCCAAGAAATGTTATCAAGATAAAAGCTTGTGATTTCACCAACAGCACGACCCAGATTATCATCACCACTGTAGTTCCTCGTGGGTCGATTAGATTTAGTTTCCACATCATTGAGATATTGTGCACAAAAATTCATGCATTCTTCCATAAGATATCCTTATTAATTGAACCTTTTGGACGAGCTCTATTACGCACATATTGCTTCAAAGTAAGAAGATACCTCTCAATTGGATACATTCATCAAAACTGAATCGCTCCATCCAATAATGCTTCGTCAACTAGATGTATAGGCAAATGCTCCATTATATCAAAAAAAGTAGGAGGAAATATTTTCTCTAGATGACAAAGTGTTACAGCGATACGATCTTTAATATATTGCAAATCCGTCGCACGATTCACTTTCGAACACAATTGTCTAAAGAAATTGCTCAATTCAATCAAGGGTTCAATTACATTCTTCGGTAACGATCTGCGAATAGCCAATGGAATAAGTTGTTGCATCAGAATATGACTATCGTGGCTCTTAAGACCCCCAATACTTCTATCATGTGAGCGCACACGACGTGATATATTGGATGAATACCCGTCGGGAACTCTTACTTCCTTCAACACTTTCAAGAACAAATCTTTCTCATCCTTGGTCATCGTGAATTGTGCCGGTGGTAAATAAGCTTTATTCGACCCTCTTAATTGCAAATGTAGGGGTTTTCTAATATTCATATCTTGTAAATCACGCCGAGCATTAACACCATCCTTCGATTTTCCTGCAACCCCTAATATTGTCCACAACACATTGTCACAAACATTCTTCTCTATATGCATCACATCAAGGTTGTGTCTAATTAGATTGTGCTCCCAATATGGCAGTTCATAGAAGATACTCTTTTTCTTCCAGCTATGGGTGCGATGTCCAACTTTCTCCTTCTCTACCTGTCTCCTATGCCTCTCATTAAGGTTATCCCTCTTGTATTAGGTTAAAATACCCTCAGATTCTAATTGTAGCAACATCTCAGTTCCAGACAACAATTTGGGTTTGAGTCGGACTTCCCGAGTACCATCAAATGATACTTTATCCTTCCAGAATTTATGGCCAATAGGTAAAAATCTGCGATGACCCAAGTATGATTGTTTCCTACAATGCTTCAACCAACACGATGTAGTTTCCGTATTACAACAAGGACATGCATATTCGCCTTTAGTGCTCCATCCTGACAAGTTTGCGTATGCAGGAAAATCACTAATTGTCCACAGTAAAGATGCATGCATTTGAAACATTTGATTTGTTGATGCATCAAATGTTGACACACCCTCATTCCATAGTTCGTTCAACTCCTAAATCAACGGTTGCATATACACATCAATCTTGTCAACAGGTCCTTTCGGGCCGTCAATAAGCACAGATAAAATTAAGAATGGTTGCTTCATGCACATCCATGGCGGCAAGTTGTATGGAATGAGCACAACAGGCCAAGTGCTATGAACTATGCTCATCGTCCTGAATGGGTTAAAACCATCAGATGCTAAGCCAAGCCTTACACTTCGGCAATCATTACTAAAGTCAATATTCCGACGATCAAAATCTTTCCATGCAAGGGAGTCAGCAGGATGCCTGAAGACACCATCATCAGTTCGTTCCTCTGCATGCCATCTCATTAACTTGGCCGTCTTGGATGACATAAACAACCTCTGCAACCTTGACTTTAAAGGAAAATACCTCACCTATTTTGCAGCTATTCGTTTGCCACCTTTGTTAAGACCATTTGAACCACCATCACCATTTGATTTCCATCTAGAACTGTTGCATATGACACATTTATCAAGATTAGCGTCCTCGTTTCGAAACAACATGAAACTGTTGGGACATGCATCCCACGTCTCATACGTAAAGCCCAAATCTGTTGTGACCTTTTGAGCTTTATAATATGAGTCCGGGAGTTTCACACCCAACGGAAACGCCTCATTCAATAACTCAAGCAACATGTCAACAGACTTATCTGTCCACTGATTAAGCACCTTCAAATGTAGAAGTCGAACAATGAATGACAAAGATGTGAACGTCTGACAACCCGGATACAATTCACTTTGTGCATCTTGAAGAAGTTTGAAATACTTTGCAGTCTCTACATTTGGACCGAGCTGGGGTTCAGATGCATGGGGATCAGTGCTCTGTGCTTCATTACCATCAACACTTGTACCAGCATGTGGATTTCCCACAGTCCCTTGTATCATTCCAACCATATCGTCGCCAATGTCTAAATTAGCCAATGTTTCATTCCCTCGATTAGCATGCAGAGATACGTAAGATTCCCCATGATTAATCCAATGTTTGTACTTTTTAAAAAAACCATTCAAAATCAGATGCTTCCGTACACCCTCTCGCACAAGATGGTATCGATT